TGCGCACTTAACTGCTAAGCCACGGGGCCGGCCCAAGTTTCAACAGATGTTGACAGGACAATGCAGTTACAAGCAGATATTAAACTTTTCCAGAAGAACTTATACCTTAAGAATCTATTTTATTACTGAGGAAAAAAAAGGTCAAATCTGATTTTATTAATGCAGTTGCTACTAAATTAGTAATATACTTAAAATTTGTAAGGAACCAGATGGTATGGACTAGAATAACACCAAAGGAGGACTCTGGTTTTAAAATGTTAAGAAATGGGGCCCTTGGGCCGGCCCCGTGGCTTAGTGGTTAAGCACGCACGCTCTGCTGCTGGCGGCCCGGGTTCGGATCCCAGGCGCACACCGACGCACCGCTTGTCTGGCCATGCTGAGGCTGCGTCCCACATACAGCAACTAGAAGGATGTGCATCTATGACATACAACTATCTACTGAGGCTTTGGGGAGAAAAAGGGAAAAATAAATAAATAAATAAAATGTTAAGAAAAACAATAGTATTGAAACATTTCACGTATATGAAAAAAATTTGAAAGAGTGACCAATGAGTAAAAACTCCTCCTTATGTAAGAGTAAAAAAGTTTTACAAGCTTCAAATGCCATTGTACAAAGATGTCCATGTCAGAAACAGAAAAAAAAAAAAGGGAATATGAGAGAAAACACAAATTACTAGGAAAAAATCAAAATGGCTGATGCAACCACTACATTGTACAGTCTAAAGTGAGATTCTTTCCATGGCAAATAAACTAAAACTAGACTTGGATGAATGCACACTGGACTTATTAAATGTGACAAAAACAGCTGACTTGGAACCCTGAAGCCATTTCTTGAGAAGAGTGGTGGCAGAGGCAACATTTTCTATAACAAAGCAAACACCACCAAGTGAAAACAGAACACTGTGTTTCTCTGCTCTCGTCCCATTTAGTGAAATTTCCCAAAGAGTCCACTCCTTATTTCACGCTTGAAAATCGATCATTTCCTGTACTTCAAGGCCAGTTTTTCACTCTGCAAGAGTCTATACCTTCGTCTATCCAGAATTTTTAAGACATGATTAAGCAATTTAAGTTACCTCTAATTTATTGCGGAATGAGGCAAGATTCAAATATATAAACAAAAAATTTTCAATTTATATTTAAACAAAACACTTAAGAAAACAAATTCCTAGTCAACACAGAACCCACTTCACAGGCAATTAAATTATTTCCCACTGTCCTAAATTTGCGGACAGACAGCACTGCTCCTCTCTTCCAGAGTATCTCCAGCTACCTTTGCTGACCTCTGTGTCAGCGTGGCTTTCTGAACGTGCCTTGAACCCCAGAGAAACCTGAAGTCCCACAGCAGCTTCTCGGCAAAGAAGGCAGGAGGGACAGGACCCCCAGTGGCTGCCACATTCTTCTCTTTCTACTCCACGCCAGTGCACTAAGATACACTGCTTCCCCCTGAAGTATCTGCTTCCAAGTGTAAGCGATCCCCTTTTGGTTAATTATTACTTCCTTCTTCCTGAAGAAGCTTAGGAAACCTGAAATTTGGGTCAAACTTGGTATAATGGTAACTCCATTTCACTGCGCAGTCAGTAAGTTCCCTGACATTAAACATGCTCAACTCTACTCAGTCTACAACTTGAATTATTCCATACACAGGGGCTTAATCTCCCGAGATTTGAGTAGTACCTAGGGGGAAAAAAACAAGACAAGATAATGTAAAAATTTAAGAAGAATAGCCATTGATCTCCAAATGAAAATAAATGCTATAAAATAAGGCCCCAGAGAAAGAAAGTGGACTTCACAGAAACGAAACATTAGAATAAACCTGAACACACAGCGCATTTCTCTATTTCAGGTTTGCCCGAAGGATTTGGTTATCTCTAAACAAACCACTCATGATGAGTTTATGAACAAATTAAAAGCGTGATTGTACTAGCATGTATGTAGTTACAAGGACTATAGCAATTTCTAAAAAAAAAAAAACAGGTGTGTGCATGAGCGACAAAGCTGGGGAACAATATAGAGCCTCCTGGGGAGCAACACTGGTCGGACTTCACCTCTTCTTCCCTGGAGCTGTCCCTGTAGAACTCGGATCTTTAAAGTTTTAAGACAACAGCAATGAGGGAAAGGCAAGAGGTTATAATCAGCCTCATTTTAAAACAACTGTTGGGCCGGCCCCATGGCTTAGTGGTTAAGTGCGCACGCTCCGCT